GTGTCCTTCTTTTCGAAAAATAATATTAGATTAAAGTTTTGGTAAAAAATGTTTAATTTCAGGTTATTTTTTTTACCATACAATTTTTTGAAAGAGCCACTTTTTTATGCTATGAAAAAGCCGGCCTTTTTTAATTAGCTTTTTTTAAAACTAACTGTTTTGCGTTTTAAAGAGTTTTTTGAAATGCTTCATTGTTCATATTCTATTAAAACTAATTGTTTTAATGACTTTTCCTGAAGTTGTATTACTTAGTTGCGTTTGTACTTTAAAAAATATATTCAATTATTAATAAAGTTTTTAATAAAGTTTAAATAATTTTTTTTTAATAATTAAAATTTATTTTAGTTTCAAACTTCATAATATTTTGTCAAAACTTATTTTTTATTATTGTATTTACTCATATATCACTAGCAAAGTTAATATATGTGAAATGCTTTATAATCACTATGATTGATAGATAACATTTATTAATCAAAACAATTTGTTCCTTTGACTAGTGTATATTAATGTTTTTATAAACATTTGACTAGTGTATATTAATGTTTTTATAAACATTTGACTAGTGTATATTACTTTGTTTTTCTCATTTAATATTTTATATCATTATAAGTAAAGCATGTCTTTACAACACATAAAAATTATACAATACATACTAAAAAGCAACAAAGGGGCTGCATTAATTACGTCAAAAGTTTTTTTGAAATTTTTACCTCCCCTCTCTACCTTGTCAACAATTTGTCAAATTTCCAGAGACTCCTATAAAATTACGTCAATTTTTGATTACCCCTCTCCTCCTATGCTACAAACTCAGCCTAATTTTCCATTATTTAAGCAAGGTAACAAACGCATTTTTTCTAAACATCAAGATTTATTAGTTTTGTATCTTAAAACTGCATCTAAAATGTGCCACGGTTTGACGAAAAAATAAGCAAGGGAACTAGCTTTTCAGTGCGCAGAGGCAAATAATATTTGTCAGAACATAGAAGGATGATAAAATAGCATCTGTGGAATGGCTTCTTAGCTTTATGACTAGACACAAAGATTTGTCAATCAGAAAACCTGAGAGCACATCTCTGTCCAGAGCAAGTTTCAACAAGACAAATATTAACACATTCTTTGAAAAGCTAACCTGCATTTACAAAAAATATAGATTTCCATCACACATGATTTTCAATGCAGATGAAGCAGGATGCAATACCGTTTCAGCTTCTCTAAAGATTATAGATTCAAAGGGCTCAAAACAATTAGGACAGGTTACATCAGCAGAACGAGGTACGCTTGTGACTACTCTATTTTTTTATTAATGCTAGAGGTGGTACTATACTTCCAGTGATAATTTTTCCTCAAGTAAATTATAGGGATCACATATTGAATAATGGGCCTTCTGGAGCATTAGGTTTAGCTCATGTTTCAGGATGGATAACTGAAAATAATTTTGTGAAAGCAATAGAACATTTTGTAAGCCATGTAAAATCAAGTGAATGAAAATCCTGCTCTATTATTAATAGATAATCATACCTCCCATGTTAATCTTCGTGTGATAGAATTAGCCAGACAACATTTTGTAAAAATTCAAATTTTTCCACCACATTGTAGCCATAAGTTACAGCTTTTAGGCTGTTTATGGCACATTTAAAACAAGATACAGAACAACTATGAATGAATGCTCTCAAATCCTGGAAAAAATAGTCAGTATTTATCAGGTTGCGTAGTTTGCTTATTTTTATTATTGCTAGAGATGCTTATTTAGCCGCTTTCAGCATGAAAAATATTACAAATGGATTTATCAAAACCGGCATTTACCATTTAAATTCCAAAATATTTTCTGACAATAATTTTCTTACATCTTACGTAACTGATAGACCAGTTTTTTTAGATTATGCTTCTTCACAAAACTTGAGATCCTCAACACAAGGACTCAACACTGCCCATATTAATACTTCAGATGCTCATGGAAACTCAAATGTTAAACCAACAAAAACAGATAGTTTGGCTAAAAACATCAGAATCTTTATTACAGCCATCACCATCACAGTAACAAATGGTTAGCCCTGAAAATGTAAGGCCTTTTTTAAAATCAGGACCTAGAAAGAATTTAAAATCTAATGATCGTAAAATCTCAGCTATAATCACAGATACTCCAGAAAAAAAATCGAAGATAAAGAAACAAAAAAACAACCTAAAAGAAGTGATATTATGCAGACTAAAACAAAAAAAATATATATACAAAAAAACAACCTAAAAGAAGTGTTATTATGAAGACTAAAACAAAAAAAATATATACAAAAAAACACTAAAAAATATACAAAAGGATTCCATTGATTCTGGTAGTACCTTATAATTGCATGATGATGCAAGCTCAGATGATAAAAGACATTTATCAGAATTTAAAAAAATATGTTTGAAGAGGATAATATAAATCATTGTATTGTATGTAATAGACAATATGGTAAGACCAAGGAAGAATTGTACCAGTGCAAGGTATGTGAAGAATCGGCAAATGAATCTTGTGGCTTCAAAGGTGTGATTAACTTCTTCTGCCAAAAATTTTTCCGATACTTTCTTTTAGTTTTTGATGTTGTTATATGAAGATATTTTTCTTTGACAAGACGTTATGAAAGAACTGATTTCTCTCTTTTTTTAAAATAGGTGTATTACAGTTTATTAACATTGTTATCCAATTTATTTTATTTTTTTAATATTACCCAATAAAGCAACTATTTGAATATAATTTTTTTTTTAAATTAATCAAATTTGACTTTTTTTTATACCTTTTTAAAACAGGTTCTTTCATACACACTCTCCCCTAATGGGTTTGAAAGCAAATGTTGAAGAACTAACAACCTCAATGTTTTTAGAGTTGTCAACAAAATGAATAATAATTTTAAAAATACTTGTTATCTTTTGTAAAAACAATTCCAAAGTGTTTATTAAACATAACACCAGTTTCTATATTGATAGAAGTTAACTTGTAATAGTTGTTTTTGTCCTTTAAAAAACTAAAACAACAATTACAAACTAAAGTTATGAATTAACTTCATTTTATGATTATTTAGTTTATTAGTAACATAGTTGAAGAACTTACTTTTATTGCCTTCAAATAGTTTGAGTTCAACTTTTTTTTGATATGTAAAAAAAAGTTTGTTTACATTTACTGGCATATATGATGTAAGCTATTTTGTAAGAATTGGTTTTTGCAATTAAGTAACTTTTCAATAAAAAATGATTTAAAACTAAACATTTTCTTAATACTTCATGGAAAAGATGTCTTATTTAAATATGATGTATTTTTTAAGGCAAACAAAACAATCAATAAAAAAATGAAAAAAGAAAATGTTCAAAAGTTTGTCATTAGTAAAAACATTAGAAAATTTGAGGTCCTATATGACCTGACTCTCATTTAAAAATTAAAATAGCAGGTTAGTTATATCAGCATTATTGAAATCACATAAAGAATAAATGTTCTTGTCAAACTGATTTAAAAAAATGGATTGAGTTTAGTTGGAGTTTTTCATTAAAAGAGCACTCAACAGAAATTTTGTTTAAAAAAAAATGTTATGCAAAAAAATAGTCTAAAATATTGGATTCACATGTTAGTTCGTGGACAAATTGATGCATACCAAGACTATTAACAAGAGTTAGATTTTTTTTTTTAGTTTCAACTTTCACAGCAACAGCTAAGGTGTTTTGCAAACTTATTCAGTTTTAAGATTGTTAAATGTATGCAATTTTAAACATAACATTTATTGATTGTAATATACAATATTTATTTTGGTATTCCTTGGAATTTTTTATATATTTTAGTATAAACTTGACAAAATGTTGTAAATAATTGCTTTAAGCACCCAGACTCATTATCACAAAAAGCCTTCTACTTGTGGTGCCAGTATGGAAGAGATGATCCCTTTTTCAGTTAAATGGATGACACCCTGTATAAAGCTACTGGGAGTTAAAGCAAAATATCAAAAGTTGTAGATGTCTTTGTCAATGACCGTAAAAAAAAAATTAATTTAAACTTTTGATAAAGTTGGTGTTTATACTAAAAAATTTTGCTTTTTACATGACTAACTACATGTTGCATGTTGAAGAACAAGGTTGCTTAAATTTTTTTTTTTAAAGTTGATAAATATGCATTACAAGGCACGTATTTTAACAAATACTATCTTATGAAAAATATTGTTTGAAATGTTTTGTATTATATAATATGCTTACATATGTGTTTATAGTTAAACATGTTTATACTATGTTGTTTCAATGTTTTAAAAGTGATGTAACTTGGCAGTGATTACAAAATTGTCAAGCAGTATTACTGATGTAATATAGAGCCAGATTATATTGCCGAGGAGTATTTCCAGCCTTACAACAAATTATATCAAAGCTTTCAAAGTGAAAGCTTTGATATGTTTAGTTGTAATTTTCTGCTGTCATAACTGATTTTAGAAAGTAAGTCATGTTATGAAGCATTTAATATTATTCATTTTTTAAAAGCCAAAACAAAATATTATTAATCTTCATACTATTTACTAAAAGCAATTTAAATAATTGTACAGTTTTGTAATTCAAATTAATTAGTACTTTTAAGAATTTTAAATTTTTATGAACTTTTTTTATTTCATGGGTACTTTTTAATAAATAAAACTAATACTAGAATGATAATAAATAAGTATTTAATTTTATGTAAATAATAAATTTTTCTAAAAAAAATATAATAATACTAAATAGCTATTTACTTTTAAGTTCACATTTGAAAATATAAGTTGAATAAAAATGTCAATAGATTTTTTGCAAATCTGTAAAACTGTATATAAATTTATATACAAATTATATGTATTTAACATTCTAAATAACTTGTTAAATATTTACAAAATTTTTAACAAGAAAAGAAATGTTAAATCAAAATCAAAATAAAATAAAATTTTTTATTTTATTTTCATTTTTTACTATTGCTGTTCATATCAAATTACAATTTTTGTATGTACATTCTATGAAATATTACTTACAAAAACCAGTTGAGTCCAACATATATCCCTCTTTACATGCACATAATCCATTATTGTTTTTTACACTACAGTGTTGATTTGCTTTACACAGATCAGAGCAGTCAGCTGAAAAAAAGTATAATGTAATTAATGTAATTATATATATTATTATGTAATTATATATATATTAGAGTTATTATATATAATAACTCTATATTTTAATGCAAAATTAATAGTAAAAAAAAAAGTCATCTAAACAACAAATCATGACATGATCAAATAAAAACTTTACTTATAAGTAGATAAGTAAATGTTTAAAAAAAACTAAACAATAAAAAAGCAAACTATTTTATATATAAAAATAACTTTCTTATATAAATATAATGGCTGTTTTACAATTTACAATAATAAAAACTAGACATTGCATAATGAGTTAAGTATATATAAAAAAAAAAACATTTTTGCATAAAAGGTATAAAAAATTCATCTTGTTAATTCTTTTTACAAAAATCTTGTTTTTAATTTATTTATATTTTTAAACTTATCACTTTCAAATGTAAAACACAATATTCTCTCTGTATTATTGCCAAACTTAATAGTGTTAGTGTGTTAGTGCTCATTCAAGCGTGTTTGATACAGAACCCTTGGCAGCCATTGCAACTAAGGTAGTGGCCAAAAAGAGTGGCAGCTTATTTATTATAAGAAAACGTGCACGAACGTGTATGCAAATATCTATTGTACGTAAACTTTAAATTAAGTAATGTTAAAACATACTGAAATATTTATCAAGTTTTACAGTTTGACTTTCACTTAAAAATTGCATTGCAGCTACATGTCCTTAATTTAGATCAATAGCATTTCACTGAAAAATTTTTTATATAGTTTTACAAATTTTCATAATTCAACGTGCTAGCATAGCCAAGAAGATAGCACAAAGAGCTTCTGAACTTAAAAGCTGCGGTTAGAGTCATTGGCAACTTTTCTTTTTTAATTTTTTTCAATTATTTTATTATTATATTATACTTAATTCTTTTGAAATTTTATAGAAATTATATACAAACATATGTGACAATGTTATACACTTTAACAAATGAAAAAGTTTTTAAGTAAGCTAAAAATTCTAAAAACATCAAAACACCGGAAGAAAAAAATTTGTTGCGTTTGTGTCATGATTGAGATTCTTATGTTATTAATGTGCTCACGTAATTGGTCTTAATAAGCTGCACATAATCTGAAAAAAAATTGTCTAAAACTTAATATATTATAAATCATTTTTTAATATAAACTAATTTTTTTTCAACTTTATTGTGTAAGCAGGTTTAGCGTTTAACCATCCCTATATAAACAATATATATAAACAAATATGTTATTTTTTATGTATATTGTTTATAAAATGTAAAAAATCCACTTGTACAACGTTTTATTCAGGATCGTATGTAATATAAGTAATAAGTAAAATATATATATATATATATATATATGTATATATATATATATATATATATATATATATATATATATATATATATATATATATATATATATATATATATATATATATATATATATATATATATATATATATATATATATATATATATATATATAAGCCTTGGTGGTAATAAGGAGCTTTAGCTCTCACTCACTAAACTGGTTTACACAAGCATTCTCTCCCCTAAACTGGTTTACACAAACTTTTATGGCTCAGGCAAAAGTAAAAAATTAAGAAACTTTCTTATAATAAGTTTTACTTATATGAATTTTATGTATAATATATACATAAAATTCATATAAGTAAAACTTTTTAAACTATTGATAAAACTTCAGCAGGCTTTAACAAATTTTAATAAATTTTAGATCTCTGTTACAACCTTTGCTCATTTATTTTGAGTATAAGTGGTAACTTGCATAAAATTTTGAGAATAAAAGGTGACTTGCATAAAATCTATTGTTATGTTTGATAAATAGTAACAGATATATATATTTTTGAAAAAACAATTAACAGTGTATTTATAATATTAAATTTATATAATATAACTGTGTAGCCCACCAATGATAATGATCTATCTAGCAGCCTGTGCTTTGCTGGCTCAGTAACATCTAAAATCATTGACTGATCAGTCTATTTTTTAAAAAAAATCTAAGTTTTACATAATTAAAAAAAAATTCAAATAATATTAGTATTAATATATTAGTAGAAATTACAAAAATTCTACTAATATTCCTTGTTAGAGATAAGTCCTACTCAGCTGTCTCTAAGCTGTTTTCTAGACATTTGTATTAGACCACTACAATTTCTTCTTATTTCTAGCATTTTTTAATCATATCTAGTAATTTGGTCTATATCCAAATTAAAGTTATAGCAAGAGTTTGTATTTAAACACAGAGCTTAAAAGATCTACAAGGTTTTATTGTGTCACTTATTCTTTGCATAAAAAATAAAAGAGAGCATAAAATCGTTTTTAATTTAACTTTGAACAAATGTTTTTGAAAAAATTTAAAATTGTTTACAATAAAAATATTGTAGTAAATCAATTCTTTTTTTTTTATGTTTATATTATAAGTATAAAATAATTTTTAATTATTTAATTAATAAGGTTTATATTTTAAAATAAATTTTAAGATAAGACTTTGATGACATAATAAATTTATTTAATGCATTTTAAAACACAATAAATTTGTTTAAAATCTACATAAAATTTTTTAATACAATTATATTATAAATTTATATGCAAATTTTAAACAAGTTTATTGTGTTTTAAAATGCATTAAATAAATTTATTATGTCATCAAAGTCTTATCTTAAAATTTATTATGTCACCTTAAAGTGATCAGTTTAGGGCTTCTATGAATATGGAGCGCATAGCAACTTAGTTTTACTTATATTTGTTTAAATAAAAAAGTGAAACAATAAATAAAATTAATATTAAAATACATTTAACAAGAATTTCATTAAAAAAGGAGCAAATTAGAAAACTTGTTTAAAGAAGAAATATAAATAAAATCAAACAGTAAAAACCTAACCCTTGTAAAAATCATAACTACATTTTATGCGGATTGTGTTTAAATATACTTACGTTCACAAGTGTATCCATCACCACTATAACCAACTGGACATACACAATAAGAAAAACCATTTTCATCTGTGTTACATCCATTTATGAAACATAAATCACATACTGAAAAAAAATTAAATTTAAGCTAAAAATAACACAATAAATTTTATATCCTATAAGACTAGAAAAGCACATAAAATTAAACTTAAAATTAATTTAATTTAAATTTATATAATTAATTAAGAAAAAGCTTTTATTTTTAAAATTTTTTTTGTTTTATATTTTGTGTTTATACTAGTTTTTATAATTAACAGTTTTAAGTTTTAAAAAAAAAGAAATTTTGTTTTTCTTGATACATTATGCCCAGCAAGGTACCGAGTATATAGGCAAGTTTTTTTAAAACTAAATAAATTTAGTGTAGAAAGTAATTCCATTAAACTTTAAATTGAAGGTTTATTGCAACACAAAAATGCAAAAGAATTTAATTTGAATATGCATATAGCAAGATTAATTTTACCAGTAACATGTTTTAGATTGTTTTTTGTTGAAAAATTGTCAGTGCAAATGAAGTAATACCATCAATTAAGACATAAAATGTCTTATGAATTCCTTTTAATCAACTTAGATTGAATGTATGTGGTAAACTTGCTTAAAAAATAAACTGATTAGAAGTCATGCTTTTCTAGTCAGTAAAGTGCTTTTCTTTATTTAAAAAAAAAAAAAAATTATTTCATTAAAAATACTACCTTGAGTATTTCTTTTAATAGTGGAAAACTAGTTTAGCGTAATTTTTCAAAAAAATCTTTATTTATAAATACAAAAAGCAGTTAAACAAGCAGTAATTCCTGATTAGTCTTTTCTATGTATTGCCTTTTGGTAGATTGCTTGTCATTAGCAAAATTTTCATCGTAATATTTAGTATGCAAATAAGTACAGTTTTTATAAATGTTAAATATTATTAAAGAAGCAGTAACTCCTGATTTCTTCTTGGTATTTTCAAAATATATCCATTTAGAGGTGACAGGAATAATGTCGAAAAATAAACTTTAGAATAGTGTTGAATATATACAAAGCCTAGTGTCGCAAAAAAACTGAATAGTGTTGTAAATGAATTTAAGGAATAATGTCGAAAACAAAATAAAAAGAAATGGTGTTGCAAATAGTAAAAAGAATAGTGTCGCAAATAGTAAAAACAGAATATTGATGCAAATAATAAAAATTTTGAGAGAATTAGAAAAAAATAGGGTCAAACCCAGACAAAAATAGTATAAAGCTAAAATTTGGCAGAGAGAAAGTGCACAGTTTTAGGGTGAACATAAAAAAACCACAGTTGATTGTGCTAAGGTAACATCCCTTTTGGGGCAATTTTAAGGGCAAAAAAGAGTCTACTTTGACACCTCTAAAATATTAAAAATTTTATTATTTTATATATATATATATAACTCGTTCAAATGTTGTACATATATATATATATATATATATATATATATATATATATATATATATATATATATATGCATTATTAAGATCATTTAATACGAATTTATATTTTTTATTTAATTTATATTATACCTATTCTTTCCGAAAAATGGTAACTTTGATCAGGCGGCTGAAAGGGTGGGGGGCGGTGAGAAGCTAATGAGACAGGTTGTTCTTAACGATGAAGAAACAGTAAACTTTTTATACTTTCCGAATCGCACAGTAAGCGCTTAGTAATGTTTATCTACTATATAATCTACTGAATCTTTCTTAACTAATCTTTTTTTTGGAGAACAATCTGGTAAGTATAACTTAGTGTTTTTTACAGATTTTTATTGAATCGAAAAAATCCTATGCATTACTATAGTACTTAAATTTTGTCTTTTTGTAAAAAAAAAAATTTTTTTTTTTGCAATTATTTGTCTGCATTACCTTTACATTATTTGTTATATTATATAATTTTTTTTTTTAAAGTGGATTATCCTATTAAAAGTCGAACACTCAGGACCTACGCATTTTATCTTTTTTAGTTTGTTTTTCTAAAGAAAGACTATATAAAAATGTTTTATATGCTGTAGTTTTACAACTTCTATTTTTTATTATTTTATATTACGGTATTAATTAAGGGGCTTGGCGGTAAGATAATTTGTCTTCTTCTTGCCCCTGCTATTTGTAACTACATATGTTTATGGTATAATTAAATATGTATGGCAAAAAAATAAAAAATAAATAAATAAAAAAGTACATGTTTGTTTTGAAAAAACTAGAAGAGAAAAACTTGCCTAAACAACATTGAGACTGGAAACTATATTATTGTATGATAAACTTAATGAAAAGTACATCTTGATGATTGAATCATATACATACCTTTACTAACATCATCTGCTAAAGAAGGGTTGTTAACTGCACCTGAAACATCACAATCACATTTCATAATAAATCCTCCAACTCTGAACTGTTCATTTTTGTTATATTAACTGTAGGATAGGTAACTTTTTCACAATTTGAAATTTATTTTTTTGTTAAAGTAATAAAGATTTTAGGTAGCAGCAGTGCTGGTTTTTGCAGACTGGGTAGAGCACTGTATGGATGGGTTTTGGGGTTTGGCACTTTTTCCACAACAAACTGTATTTATTTGAAGTTTATGATATAAACTTCAAATTTATGAAGTTTTTGAAGTTAATGATAAAACTTCCCAAAATGTGACATTTATAAAATAAACAAAAGTATAGAATAACCATGGGTAACAAATGGCCTCAAAAATTATTTAATACTTTAATACAAAAAAAATGTCAAACTGAAAATCAAAGATGATGCCTTAAATTAATTTGCAACACTATTCTGCGACACCCCTTTTATTGAGTAGCCATTTTTCATTTTAATGTGTAGTACAAAAACATGTACAGTTGAGCTGACAGTTTCAAGTTTTATTTCAGTTTTATTTCAGTTTATTTGGTGTAAACAGTAGTTAATTAGCTGCTATTAGAATGGTCTTTGTTTAACTGGAATAAAAAATTCACAAGCTGAAAACATGTAGAGAAAAAAAAAAAAATAATTTGCTGACTTTTAAAATTTTTATAGGGAAACATTTTCAAGCCTCAGATACTCCATTTAGTTTAAGTAAAAGGAGCATTATCAAACAATTTAATAATATTTTCTACTTAGCATTAACACTTTCCAGAATTATTATCTCCAGATTTCATAAATCACACATATATTACAGAACCTTTGTTTTTATTTATTTATTAAAAAGTAAGTAATTAATTTTTAACTAATTTTATTAAAATGTACACTATATTTTCTCAATTAAAAAAAAGTGATTTAAAGTCTTTCACATTTTGTAAAGTTTACTACAGACAACTAATGAAAAAGAACACTTTTTATGAATATCAATTAAAAAATTTTAGTTAAAATAAACTTTAAAACCTAAAAAAAATTATTTATCAATATGTTCCATTAAAATGCCTAGCAACATTATTTATGCATGTGGTAAAATATATTACAAGAAAAAAATAAATTTGAAAAATTTAAATTAACTTGTATAAATTAAAAATTTAAATAAAACTTAAACTACCATTTGAAAGAACTTTAATTTTTTCCACTTCTTCTTCTTCTAAAAAAAAAAAAACATACTTAAAAACAAAAAATAATGGTATAAAAAAATATATTTATTAATGTTATATATGTGTATGTATACATTCACATATATAACAGCAGGTCTCAACGGAAAACGAGAGCTCTTGCTTCCTGCCAATTATAAGTTATTCATCAAAGAAAACCATCATCGCCGCAATTAAGATGAACTAAGATGAAAAATGCAAAGAAAACCATTATTGTTGTAAAAAATTAAAAAAAAGAGCGTGAATTGAAATGCAAATGTTTTTAATTAGATTGGACTAACTGATTGGTTTTTTAAATAAAAAATTATTTACTTATAAAAATGCCATTATGAAAAAATAAATTGATAATATTCTGCTATAAATCATTTTCTTAGTCATTACTGCGTTTTCTATTAAAGCTATTATTTCAATTTCAGTTTATAATATTCAACTTTTTTAAAAAATACATTTGAAAAAGTATTATATTTAAAACAATATTATTTTCAATTATTATGGTTGTTTTTTTTTATTTTGCTTAAACTCAAATATATAATATAAATGAGAAATATATATAATATTCTGGAAAAGCTTTTGAAATTATTAAATTGCTTCTTTTTAACCGCTTTATTAAAGTCATTCTCAAAGAAAAACACTCTTCTTCATTTCCAGTAACTTTTGGGGTAACTCATTGTTCTATCTTTGATCTACATTAATGATCTTCCCAACAACCTTATATCTAAATTTGTTCTTTTTGCTGATGACTCAACTTTATACTTCTGTCTTGACTGGAGTCATCAGCAAAAAATTGAACTTTATACTCTTGTCTTGAAGTCTAATCTTTTTGATTGCTTAGAACAGGCAGTCAATCTTGAATCTGATCTTACTTCTGTAACAGATTGGGGCTTGTAGTAGCTTGTAAATTTTAACTCTAACAAAACTCAGTAATTTAAAGCAAATAACTGTTGCAATACGGTCAATATTCCTATATTAATGGCAATCCTCTCAGTGAGTTTTATTTTTTACATCTTTTTAGATTGTTGTTTACTACTGACCTTTCACAGAGACCATGTATACAATCAAATGTTAAATTAGCATCCGTTAAGGTTGCTTCTCTTTATCATGCTAACCATTTTCTTACTCTTAAATCCATTCTCTACCTCTACAAATCTCTCATTCGTCCCTGTATGGAACATTGTTGTCATACTAGGTCTGGTTCTTCTAATAATGCTTTTTTTCTTCTAGACAAGGTCTAAAAACACATTTTAAAGGTAGTTGGACTTGCTCTATTTGCTAAGCTTGAGCCTCTTTCCCATCATAGTGAAGTTGTATCTTTATCTCTTTTCTAAAAATACTATCATAGCTGCTTCTCAAAGAAGCTGTCATCTCTAGTTCTATTAATTAAAACTCATCCTCACTTAACTCATCATTCAGCAAAGTCTCAAAAACTTTTACTTGTTTAGTTTTTTTACCAGCAATTCAACACTTTGGAACTCTCTTCCTGACACAAATTAAACTTTTCAAACCTTCTGTTAACCGTTTCCTTGCTCTATAACTCTATTCTTTTTTTTTTCTAGTAACTCCTAAATTAATAGTGGTTGCTTGCAGCATTGTTGAGAGTGAATCAAAATAAAAAAAAATAATTACGCACTAAATTATTGCATAATAATTTTTATATTATGTAACGAGTTATATATTTTATATATTAACTATAATGAATTATATAAATTTGTCTCCGTTTGAGCAATATAAAAAAATATAATATACAATTAAATGTTCAGCTAAAAAAAGTTGTTATTATTATATAAACACTGTGAAATCTATATTTGTTATAATAATTGTTGCATTTTAAAGTAAGGAAAAATTTAACATTTTTTATGAGCAGTAAAAACTTTTTCAAATTTTTACCAAATAAGTAGAGTATTTAGTGTGAAATAAATTTGTTGCGCAATAAATGATACTTGCTAGGGATATATTATGCACTGGCATTATCACAATTTGATTAATCAATGATTAAATAAGAAATCAGGGGCGCTTAGTTATAAATATAACATTTAGTTAGATATTCGTGATACTGTCATTTTTATAGAGCAAATTGATAAGCAATTTATTGTGAGTAAATTTTTATTGAAAAACTTAGTACAATTTTTAACGCCAGTGCTTACTATATATTCTTGTTACATTAACATTAAAAACTTGTAACAAGTATAAAATCAAGTTTTGTATTTAATAAGTAATTTAAATGCTCTCATAAAAAGCTGTTTAGAGGAGCAGCTTGCATAGCATGCAATGCTCATTTTAGGATAGTTTTCTCTGTTCTTGTACTTATTTACTCCTGTAAAAGAATATAATATATAACATAATATAATATAAGAGAATATAATATATAACATAATATAATATAAGAGAATATAATATATAACATAATATAATATAAGAGAATATAATATATAAAATAATATAATATAATAGAATATATTATATAACATAATATAATATATAACATAATATAATATATAACATAATAATATATATAGTAAACTAAACAATTACTGCCATTGCCATTGACAACAAAGAAGTTTTTTATTGAGCTATTTGTACTCTTGCTCCATGTATTTGATGCATAAACATTGACATGATAAAAATCTTTAGGTTGGATGATATTTTCAGAAAAAATAATTGCTCCATTTATTTTGATTGTGTATAAATAATTAGCATCAATCTTTGTTTGGCGTACCTCAATGTTCGACCAAATATTTTGACCAATTGGACTTGAATGATTACACGAATCTTGGTAAAATATAAAATTAACAGAGGATATGCAGAGAAGCCCTCTTTTTACATTGTTTTCATCAAACCATATCCCAAGAATACTGTTATTATTTTTTTGAGAATAAGATCCAATAGTAAAATCAATAACATTTTGCATAGCACCAAATTTTTGAGGATAAACATCAAATGAAACAAAATATTCATTGTATAATTTTGGAATGTGAGCAATCAACTTTCCTCTTACTATTGATGTTATATTATCATTGATAAGATACTCTAAAACATCAAACTAATATAAGATAATTAAAATAATAATTTCTATATAATTTACTTTTCAATAACAGTACAACTGTAGTTGTTATGAAGTTCACAATAAAAAATATATATATACATACCAGCAATTCCGTTAACAATCAGAAGATCAGAAATTAAACCATTTATTGGTATATCCCAAGGATTAGAGGCATACACTTTTATTTTATTAGAGTATGATTTCCCATCATTAATTGTTGCATTTTTAATATTTTTTCCATTTAGATCAACAGCAAACAAATAAGTACCATTCTGCTTTCTTTGGAAGATTTTAATATTGCACCATTGATTCATAGTTAGCCGATCAGTTTCAACTTTAATATTCTTGATATCATTTACTGCAAAATAAATATTTAATTTATCAGAGCCATCATTGCAAAAGTCAACTTTTAGAACTTTGTTGTCTATATCATCAGTATCACTATTGCCAGAGGTTAAATAGAGTACATTATTAAGAATATTTTTAGAAGCCTCAAAGTTAGTTGTGTGTTTTAAATTAAAAGAAACAGTGAACTGATTATCCAAATATTTTATTGAACCAATAATTGAACCTTGAGTTGGTGTAAATACTTTTTTATAACTAATATAATCTAAAATAGTAAAAATAATGCAAATCTTTTGTAAACAAACATTTATTAAATAAAAAATTATTTATATTATGAATCATAAAGCTTAAAGAAAATATAATTTATTCATTTAATCATTTCTAAACAAATACTTTTGATAAAAAATAAAAATACCTTTAGCAACCAAAACATTATGTTCATTGTCTAAAAGTATTAAAGAAAAAAAATGTTATGAAAATTTAAGTCATTATTTAATTCTTTAAATGCATTTAATTGGATTTATTTTATTTTGAAATTAGATTTTAAATACATTTGACATCATATATATTTTGCGTTGCAAATTTATAACCTCAACCAAAATTCAAGATCTCGCAAATAATTAAATAATTTATTTTTAAATTATTCAACTTCTAAATGTCTTACTTGATTATTATTTGCATTTGTAATAAAATCTGGTTTCATTTTGTTAATTGACTTGAAAATTTTAGAAAAATGATGGTGCAAAATTATAACCTCATTTCAATTTTACTCTACATATTCCATAATGTTTTGTATTGAAATTTGAATTTATAGTTAATACTTTGTTTTATTGCCGCCATTCTGAATAACTTCAAATATTCGATTTGGCATACTTTCATGGCATGTTTTCTAAAATCTGCAAGAGATACATTCTTCCAAACATGTAAAATTGCCTTTTTTCAGCTCATCGACATTCGATCATTGTTTTCATTCTGCATAAATACATCTTGCTAAGATGCCCCATACATTTTTGATGGGATTTAAATCAGGTGAGAGCGCTGACTATTCTAATAATTGAATTTTCTTGCTGGTAAACCATGAGATATTTAACTTTGCTCTATGAATTGGAATATTATCTTATAACTCGAAAATAAAATTGGTATTACCAAAGTTTTGCAAAATATCATTCAAATGACCATTCAACAAATTTCTATATCCTTCAGCATTTAATTTTGTAGTAATAAAGCCAATCAAAGTTTTTTCAAAATAATTGAACGCACCCCAAATCATTGGGGTGCGTTCCCCAATGATTTGGGGTGCCATGCCAGTAGTAATTGAAGCCATCTGGACCATCAAGATTGAATTTTTTTTCATCACACCATGCAATTTTTCGCAATTCCTTTTCCCAAGTCATGTGGTCCTTGGCCCATTGAAGACGAATGCGTTTGTGTGCTTCAGTTAGTGCTGGAGATGTGCCTTTTTTTGCATATCTAAAAACGTCTGACTTGTTAATTGCAGGATTCATTGTTCATTATGAGCATTTCAATTCCAAACCTATTTGTCTTGCGGAGATTGTACGGATACTAGCGGCATACAGAATTTGTAGCTGTTGGCAAGCTGTAAGTATAGATTTCATACCACTTCGATGCTTCGTGCTATAATTTGTTGGATCTGTTAAGAAATTATTGATCAAACGTTGTGAGCGTCTCAGGTTGCAAGAAATTTTCCTGTTTGATAAACCCAATGACCTGTAGGCTTTGATCTTGCCATTTTCTTCATCGGAGAGTGTAATTCCTCCTGGCATTAGTTAAAATGTATTTTATAATTTTAAAATGTAATAAATTTAATTTAAAAAAAGAATTTACTGCTATTTTTGATTCAATTTAGATAATGAGGTTATAATTGTGCACCACGTCAATTAAAGTATAAATAGATTCATGTAAATTATTTCGTTTATTTTAAAAAATGATCAACAAATAGAATTTGATCAAAAAACTTTGAAAGATTGTTTTAAGGTTTCTATACAGAAGAGGTTATAATTGTGCACCCCACTGTATTTAAAATCAAGTTAATAACAAATAAAAAAAAAGGCTTGATACACAAGTTATTTTTAAGTTTTTGATTTCATACATTCAATACATTTCTATGTATTCTAATAACTACAATAACTACAATAATAATAATAGCAATAATAATAATATTAATAATAATAATAATAATTTTTTTTTTAATTAGCCACTAATTGGAAAAAAAAGACAAAATATTTAATCAGCATAAAAAGTTATTATTAAAGTTTAGATATAAAAAAAGTTGACTTAATATAAAAAAAAAGCAAATTCTAATCAAAGATTAGAATTTTGCTTTTTATTTTTAGATTCTAAAACTTTTTAACAAAATATTAGTACTGTTAAACTATGTTTTACTCTGTTTTTTTGTTGTTGTTTTTTTCATTCATTTTTATTTTAAAACTATTTATTTTACAATTTGATTGGTTTATTATTAAAAAAAAAAAAACTAATCTAATTGTAAAAATTAATGTAGTTGAAAATATTAAATATCTAATTGGTTTTAATTTATCCATAATAAATGCATAAAATATGTAAAAAGATTCAACTTAATTTGTAAAATTAAGATGAATATTAAAGTAAGATGAATATTAAATATTTTGTAAACATAATTAACATAAAAAAAAAATTACCTTGACTATTATTGATAAAAAAGTTTTTTATTAAACCATTATGAGTGAAATCACATAAACTAGAAGCATATACTTTGATATTCAAAAAACTTTGAGCATTGTCATTAATTTCAGAAAAAACAATTTCTTCATTAACTTTGATCATGTAAATATATTTAGAATTTTTTAATGTTTGAACAATCTCTATTTTACACCACATATTTAGTTCAATTGGTTTTGTAATAAATTTTCCAACATTTTTAAAATCAATATAAAGTTCTCCATTATTACTAAAGTCAATCTTTAAGATGACATTGTTGTTAAATTCTTTATATCCAATATTTTCAATATAAATAACATTACCGAAAGTGTTACCAAAATATAGAGGAAAAACATCAAACAAAATTAAAAATTCTTTCTCAAGTATTGGTATTTGAGCAATTATATGTCCACGTGCTAAAGAAGTATTATCATTGCCAACTATATAATCTAAAATATGTGATATAATAAAAGTAATTTAATATCACAAATATGAAATTAAGCAATTTATTTATAAAATCTATATATTGTAAATATCTATATATTTTTGTATATTTAAGATCTGCAAACTTTATTTTACTAATTTTCATCAAAACTGAAAATTGTGTTTAGTATTAAAATAATATGGTTTTTAATCTTCTAGTTCTAATTAATTCAAGCTAATTTGCTAACAGTAATAACCCAACTTTTTTTATTGTGCGTTAGATAAAAGTGGTGATAAAGTTTGGCATGCTGGTGTTCTCTATAAGCTTTCTTCTCATGTTACTAGGTACATCTCACGATGTATCTGGTAACATCTTTAAGATTATTGAATCCTTCCTTTCTAATTGTAGTATAAAAATCGCCCTCAATGGATAGCACATTTCTTCATATTCTGTAACATCAGAGGTTCCTCAAGGTTCAATCCTCGGCCCTATAATCTTTTTAATTCACAATAACAACCTTCCAGATATTCTCACATCTAAGATAGCATTGTTCCCATTTATTCTTGTCATGATAATAAGCCAGAACACTCTCTGATTGCTTGGAGAGGACATTTGAGCTTGAAAAGGATCTCACTTCTGCTACAGCATGGGGTTCAAAGTGGCTGGTGAACTTTAATTGAGATAAAACTCAATTTTTTTCAGCCAATTGTTATCGCAATAACTTAGATCTCCCTATATTTATGAGCTGTAATGTACTTGATGAGTCATCTATCCTTTATCTTTTAGGATAAACTCTTACTTGGAAACTGTATATCAAATCTGTTGCAAAATTAGCATCTGCTAAGGTTGCATCTCTTTATCAAGCTCAACACTTTCTTACTCTGGATTCTATTCTCTATCTCTATAAATCTCAAATCCGACCTTGTATGGAATACTATTGCCGTATCTCGGGCAGATCTTCTAATGATGTCCTTACTCTTTTAGACAAGGTACAAAAACGCATTTTAAACATAGTTGGACCTGCTCTTGCAGCCAACCTCCAACCATTATCACATCATTGTAATGTTCCTTCTTCTATTTTCTACAAATACTATAATGAGCACTGCTCTAAAGAGTTAGCATCTCTTCTGCCATCTACTAAAATTCATTCTTGTGTTATTCGCCATTAATTTTAGTCTCATTCTTTTTCTGTGACTGTTCCTAAGTGCTCCAAAAACACTTATTCCTCTAGTTTTTTCCAATAATTGTGGTTATAACCTTCTCTCAACTCTACAACTCTGAAACACAAACCTTGACGAACAAGGCTGCTGCTTGGAGAAACAAATATAGCACAGTACTACCAGAGACATGGTAGTTCCGCGCTCTACTAATACACCACTACTAAGTTATATTTTATATTATATTGCGTTACATAATTAATTAAAAGGTTGCTGATCTGAACATCATATTAAATTATTTACTTAAATCCAGTTGTCAAGACTCCCAGACCTCTTAAGGCTTTTCCCAAGACTAAAATCTCACCAGAAAAGTTTGTATTACTATGAATAATAATAAAAAAAAAATGAATTTAATAAAATGCAAAAATGTGATGATAAACTAAAGAAATAGTTAAACTCTTTTTAGCTTTGATGGAAAAATGAAATAGACAATTAAGACTGTTGAGAAAGAAAATGACTAACTTCTAGAAAAAGTCTCAGATGTTGTGTTGTGAACAATTTACAAAGCTAGATGCAAACATATGTGACTGTCTTTATCTACTAGATAAAGAAAGCTTTATAATAACAATGTTAAACATATCATTTAGAAAGAAACAGGTTTACATATATATATTTAAATTAGGAGGTGCATCACAAAAAAACCAGTCAAAAATAATAGGGTCTTTATTTGGGGTAACTGGTAAACACTCAAACATGCCTTATATAGGATGTTATGAGGACTGCAAAAACAAACAAGAAGTGATTCTAGTAGATAAATTATCAATAGTGCAGATTAATAAAACAGATAAAAAAATTCTAATAAAAAAAAGATTCAATGAAAGAAAAAAGACTGATTGCAAATCACCTAATATGTAATAAGTCAGGCAGGAATAGGGAGTTGCTTTGATCAGATTGTTCATTAGGCAACCAATTAAGACTCATTGAAAATTTTTTTGAAACATACAGAGAAGAAAAATTAGTAGGAAAATTTGTCTTTAAAATGAAAACTCATCTAATGTTAATGTAATTTATCATCTAATATTGTCTGTAGTCTGCTAATGTTGTTTATCATGTTATCTTGATATATTATGCTTACAAAAAAGTTTCAAAAATAAATAAATAAATAAATTTAGAACTAAAAAATCATTTAAGGTTTTTTTAGTTTGTTTTTTTTTACTTTTTTGTTATTATACTAAGAGATATATAGTCTATTATATTGTTTGTAGGATTCAAACATATTTAGATAATGTTAAAAAACAATAACACATCAACTTTAAATGTAAAATTGATTTCAACCCTTTGACCTTAATCTGCAGTTTTTAAAATAATAAATTTTTTGACGACTTAAAAAAATTGTTGAATTTTTATATTAAAAATTTATGAATAAAAAATATATTGGTATTATAACAATGAGAAAATAAAATATTTAATTTAACACGAAAATTATCTTCTTTTACTTATTATACTTTTAAATTAGACAAGTATCAATGAATGATATTAACAAATATTGTAGCATGAGCCAATTTTACAATCAGATAAACTAATTAGTCTAAACCAGATAAACTAAATAGTCTAAACCAAATAAATTAAATAGACTAAACCAGATAAACTAAATAGTCTAAACCAGATAAACTAAATAGACTAAACCAGATAAACTAAATAGACTAAACCAGATAAAATAAATAGACTAAACCAGATAAAATAAATAGACTAAACCAGATAAACTAAATAGACTAAACCAGATAAACTAAATAGACTAAACCAGATAAAATAAATAGACTAAACCAGATAAACTAAATAGACTAAACCAGATAAACTAAATAGACTAAACCAGATAAAATAAATAGACTAAACCAGATAAACTAAATAGACTAAACCAGATAAAATAAATAGTCTAAACCAGATAAACTAAATAGACTAAACCAGATAAAATAAATAGACTAAACCAGATGAACTAAACTTTTTTTTTCAAAATTTTAAATCTTGATCTTGAGTTTATTTTTATTTTATCAGAAACATTAAAAAAATTTCTATATATACAGATATATCTATGTATATATCTGATATCTATATATATATCAGATATATATATATATATACATATATATATATATATACATATATATATATATATATATATATATATATATATATATATATATATATATATATATATATATATATATATATATATATATATATACATATATATATATATATATATATATATATATATATATATATATATATATATATATATATATATATATATATCAGAATATTAAAAAATTGTTATTTTTTAGAATTTAAAAAACCATTTTAATTAATAGTTTAACGAAAATTTCTTATAGCTATTATAATTTAAATGTTACAGAATGAACAGAATGGTGTTAACGTTACAAATATTACTGATCAATATTAAAAAATTAACAATATTCTTACCAACTTTACCATTGATAACAAGAAGATCAGAAATAAAACCATTTTGTTTAGAATCCCAAAGATTATTGGTATATATATAATTATTGGCATACACTTTAACACTTTTCCGATGTTTCTCTTGATAAACAGTATAAAAATGCTTTCTGTAAATATTAGCATCATTTAAATCAACAACAAACAAAAGACCTGTAGTAAGCTCTTGTTGGTATATTTTAATATTTGACCATTGCCCCATAGTAATTGATACTGTTACAATTTCATTATTAGCATTTTCTGAAGTATTAATGGATAACTTTCCAGATTCATCATTGTGGAACCCAATACTTAAATAACCATGTGAGCAACTTTCAGAAACATTTTCAAAGGTTAAATGTATAATACTTTTACAACCTTTAGGGGAATGATTAGCTTTTATGTTGAAAGATAAAGTGTACTCGTTATTTAAAACATTCAATGTTCCAATTAAGGGTAAAAAAAATTCTTTTCTTTGGTTAATGTAATCTGTAAAAAATTAATAGAAAACTTTATTTTCTCACTGAATTGATAAAAAAAATGTTATATTGTCTTTAGTTTTTATTATGAATTCAGTGGCCACCAAAACTGTTGAAAACAAGACACAATGAAGATAAAGTTAAGGCATAATGAAACTTTAAAAACTTTTCATTCTCAAGTCTTAGTCATTAACATTTATAAATAAATCATTAAGATTGATAATTAATTAAATATTATTTCGGTACTAACAAAAACTTTCTCTAAAAAAAAAATTTGTTATCAATGTTAACAAAGATATCTTTGAAAATAATGTCAAAAATATCTTGGTTTATACTTGTTCTGTTTTATTTAATTATTTACAAAATAAAATAAAAAAACAACAAAAAACTCAAGGTGCTTAGATGTGTCAATGGTCAAAGTATACAAATGCCCAGTTGTTGTTGCAGGTGCATTAATAATACAAATTGTGTTGGTAATTAAAACCCAACACTGAACTGTTCTAAATGACCATTTTAAAAGTTTGTTAAAAGGGCCATTAACATTTTTAACAGATTTTTCATGATGATGGCAGATTGTTTAAATTTTTTTATCTGTTATTCCAGATCTCCAAATTCAAAAAATTTAAAATCATATGTATAATAGTATAAATTATATGTATAATTGTTTCAATGTTAAGCTCTGCTAAAACCATTAATTTAATTATTTATTTATTTTTAATAATTATTTATCATTAACTTAGATGGATGATTGTTTTTGATCAGTATTCTTGCAAATCAAAATTCTTATAAGCATAAGAACTTTCTTTAAATTTTTTGGCTCCTGGTGCCCCGGCTTCATGAGCCTTTTGGTTGCCTGCCCTGGAAACAATTTTAACACGCATTGATTAGGACTACAAAATTATCGTAAAAGTAGTGAAAAATCTATTGCAAAATTCCACTACAAAAATAAGGAGTACATCCCCCCTTCCCCATGCGTTGTCTCTGGAAGCAACTTTAACATGCACATTTATTGGCACTACAGAAGTGTCAAAAGTTTCAGCGCTCCAGCCACTATGGAAGGTAGTTTTGTAGCAGAATATTGAAAAACAAATTTAAATATTCTGCTACAAAAAAGTGGGGACTGTGCCCTGTTATCCATATATGGAAATCCATAAACTTGCAGATCAAAATTCTTATATATACTGAAAGATCAATAAATATAGAATGATGTGTAAAATTATTTTGATATCATCAAAGCCATATGTGTTTCTTAAGCATCAAAATAAGGTATATAAAAAATTGCCTTAATTTATTTAAATTGATAAATACTAATACTAATACTAATAATACTAATAGTAATACTAATTTTTATTTAAATATTTCTGATCATATAATATATATATATATATATATATATATATATATATATATATATATATATATATATATATATATATATATATATATATATATATATATATATATATATATATATATATATATATATATATATATATATATATATAATATAAATGTTTCTGATTCCATTTATTTCTGATCACTTTATTGCACAAATTTTTAAGTAAAAAGATAAAATATTTCTAATGTTATGTAACTTGAAACCCCTATTAAACATTGAAGTTCTGAGGGGACAAGTGGGGCCTAGTAAATATCTACTAAAAGTAAAATGGCCATATTTCAGGATCTGCATGGAGCTTGAGGCTAAAATTTTCAAAGAATGCCTAATTTACTAGGTACTCTCAACTGTATAAAAATCAGCAAAATTTGAGATATAGGGTGACATTTTAAAATTTTTTTGGGTTATTTGACATGGAATTACCCTTTAGTTAGACCATGCTTTTTGAAACTACCAATTGTGCTGTAAACCTAGATCAATTTATTAAATATATTATTGGAAGTGTCAACATCAAAGGATTTCAAATTTGATCTTCAAGCTTTATTCAACTTAAAATTGCATTTGAACTTTTTGATTTAATATTTATTTTTGATTAAACTAATATTGATATTAATTTAATCAAAAATAAATATTAAATCAAAAATATGCTGGGGAATGAAGAAATGTCTTAACTGCAATGTCTTTTTCAAATAAGGATTACTTACTAAAAGAAATACAGCTATTTTTCTAGTTTTAGTAGAAGAATTGCTGTATTTCTTTTTCTTGGTATTTTTTTATTTACAAATGTTTCAATGGTTTGATAGGTCTGCATGAAATAGAATTTATCTAACCAAACGAAAGGTGTAAGTTGAAAATATTTAATTTCTTTATCATTATGTCACACCTACATTTCATTAACTTAGTAGTAGACTAATGGTAGAACGGTTTGCAATCAAAAGCTTGAGATTCAAACTTAAATAACCTTTCTGGAAGTACTGCACTCAATCTGTTTTCTTGAGCCTTAGGAAGTTAAATTAAATATAAATAATGAAACACCATGTTTTTATTTTTAAATTAAAAAAAAACTGCTAAAATATTTTTTAAGACTAAGCCCGAAAGAAAGAAAATCAAATACTTTTTAAATGTGCTATTCATCATGGAAGAGGATTCTGAAAATACAAAAATACTTACCAACATAAGATGGATTACACATTTGTAAATACGGTGGGCTCGATCCGTAAATGTTGATACCATAAACTTTAACAGTATATTCTTCAGAAGTTAATCCATTCAAAATGTGCTGCATATACATACAACTGGTATCATTAGAAAGGATTTCAATTTGAGTTTTATTAGATATTCCTAGCTTTGTGATGTAATATTCTATGATATACTTACTAACTTCTACTCCATATTTACTTGGTGGAATTGCTTGCCATTTCAAAATTAACGATGAGCTAGTCCGTGGAAATAAGACAGAAAAGTTAAGAGCTGTTGGAGCATCTAAAATAATATAAAAAATTATTTACAAGATTTCTCTGAAAATGAAACAAAAACGCTTGAAGTAAAAGAAGAGAAATAATTGTGATCAAATAATTTTTCTTTTGTTTTTTTTTTTAAAAAAAAACAAAAGAAAAATTATGGAAGAGGATTCTTTTTTTTATGGAAGAGGATTTTTTTTTTCAATTGATTCAGTTGGAACGGTGAATAAAATTTTATTGAATTAAATAAGGACTTCAGAGGTAGGATTTCCTTATTAAATCTTTATTAGTGAAGCGCCTGTTTGCAGACTTGGGATTGAATTTGTCACCCAGACGCAAGTCAAAATATGGTTGCAAAAGAACGACAATATGATTCTAGTATGAGAGTGTAAAAAGAACAGAAAAGTAAACTGTTGCAGAGTATTATGGAGAAGCACAGTGTTTTTATGAGTGACAGAACAGTTAGAAGAAGATTGTTTGACATAAGGTTTAAAGCTTGATGTCCATTGAAGAAATAAAAACTAAATCCTCACATAAAAACTAAACGTCTCAACTAGGCAGTTGAGATAAAGTACTTTGCTCCTGGACTAAGGAAGATTGTAAAAAAGTTGTTTTCAGTGATGAGAGTATTCTTCAATGTTCTAAGCAGCAATTGCAATATGTAAGACCATAAGTTGGGGAGGAAATGAGAGAAGACTGCCATTTTTCCCGCTGTTCATTAAAAGCACCCAATGCAGGGTGCTTTTAATGAACAGCGTTTTTGAATGCAATTTTATGTAATTTTGGCAGTGAATAAAAATGATTTGTCAAAAATTTGCTTCTTTTTAACTGATTTTAACTAACTTGTATAACACTGTAGTTTTTAATTGTATTTTTATGTTTTAGGCTATAAAAAAATGCAATTAACAATGATATAATTGGCATAAAAAGAAATGTAACAGAGTGAATTAATATAATTCTTAATAAATAAACTATGTTATAATATCAAGTAGTTTGTTTAAATTAATATCAATATTAATTTAAACAAATTGTGTGTATTTCACAAGTCCATCTTAAAACCACTAAAGACTGTAAGTGATCTTTTAAAATATTTTCATTATTGCCATGGTATTTTTTTTGTCACAAATTGTATAACCTTTTGCAGACAAGGTTGTGGTTGCAGAACATATGACAGTGTTTATGAAAGTATAATTTTATAATATGAAAGTATAATATTTTCTTTTGAGGAGATCTTATGGATTAGCACAGTATTTATACAGCAGCAAATATCAAGATATAAAAAAAAATAATAATACATAAAAGAAATGATTATAAATGTTTTAATGACTCTCAGATGTCATAATACAAGTGAAGTTATAATTCAGTATGTAGGAAAAAGTATTTTATCCACAGTTATTGAAAGTGTACAAAAAACAATGCACAAAACAAATAAAACAAGTAATCAAAGGCAAATGGCAAAGTAATCAAAATCCTATTATTATTTATATTTAATTTAATATCCTGATATTAAATTACTAATAAAAAAAAATTATTGAGTCAACTATTAAAAAACAAAGATTCATTCTTATTAAAAAATAAATGCAAAATGATATGGACTATCAGAAAAGTAAATGTATAAACAAAAATATACATACACCTATAGACCAATTGTTAAAAAAAAAAATTATATAAAAAAGATGAATTTAAATCTATATCAATAAATAAAAATCTATGTAAAAAAAATATATATATATATATTTAGCAATATTTGCATAAAAGTGTAAAAAATCTAGTATAATTGCATTGTTACTTGCAAAGAAAACATTTGCAACAAAAAGGAATGGTTGCACCTATTGAAATAACTGTTGGGTTCGAATTTAAGATGTGCCATAAAGTTTATGGCAATAATGTGATGTTATGTAAATGAAACTATGCAGCATATTTTTTTACTAGGAACCATTTCTATGGTGCTTTCAAAGTGCACAGTTGATAAAATAAAAACATTTGTACAAAATTAAGTAAACTTGTTATAGTTTTACAGAACAATACAAGAAACACCCTTTATATCAGAAACACCCTTTATATCAGAAACACCCTTTATATCAGAAACATCCTTTATATCAGAAACACCCTTTATATCAGAAACATCCTTTATATCAGAAACACCCTTTATATCAGAAACACCCTTTATATCAGAAACACCCTTTATATCAGAAACATCCTTTATATCAGAAACACCCTTTATATCAGAAACATCCTTTATATCAGAAACACCCTTTATATCAGAAACATCCTTTATATCAGAAACACCCTTTATATCAGAAACACACTTTATATCAGAAACACACTTTATATCAGAAACACCCTTCATATCAGAAACACCTTTTATATCAGAAACACCCTTTATATCAGAAACACCCTTTATATCAGAAACATCCAGATGATCTTCAGCTTTAATTATACTGTGATAATTTTTAAATAATAAACCCTTAAAGTTCAAAAACTAAAGTTCACAAAGTTTGTTTGTCTTTCAATAATGTTAAAATAAAGAGGTGCTCAAAATTGGCGAACATATATTTTGTAATTGATCGTTTTTATTCTGACATTGCAAAGTATGGATATGAAAAGCTTTTAAACCCATTAATAAAGACTTGAAAGCTATAAAGAAAGAAATTAAATTGCTTATAAAAGGAAACTATTTTTGATACAGGGTGCAGTAGCTATGAAGTCTTAGAGCATTCAGGCATTGCACCATTTTCTTGGTTTAGTTCAAACTTTAATGCTAGTAAGAGTTGCCATTACTTTTATACAGAAAAGAGCACACATTTTATGAAAAAGATTTTAAGAACAAAAAAGCCTCACACTACTGATTGTCAAGTACTTTTTGGTAATGGTGGTAATGTTAAATTTTCTGGTGCATATGAACAAATTCCCTTGTCTGAGTTTTAACACTTTTCTGTTCCTGAGAACATTTGACAGATTCAATGCATGACACACTTTAAGGTTGTTTACAATATGAAATAAAAATAGTTTTTTATCTTATTACTAATCAATTACCATGTTAATTTGTTGGTAACATGTTAATTACCATAATTGCTGTTTATTACTAGTCAATTGCTTTCGAATTCAATGGGAAGCTGCAGACATTTATTTGTGGCATTGTTAAGAAGAATGAGCAATTGCCAATAACACATGAAAAACTTATTTCTAAAAACAAAAGGTTAAATGCAACACAAAAATGGTGTTTAGGAAGATTTTTTTGTTCTTTGTTTAGTGATGTTGTGAAAAGTGATAACCAGTATTTTCATTTAATTCATTTACTATTTGAAATATGTGTAATAACCTTTGAAAGCTCTAAAATTGATTAGTCATTTAATAACTTAACAGAGGTGATAAGCATTTATCACAAATTGTTTACATAAATATTTTCTGGACATACTGTTATTCCAAATCAACATTTTCTTGCTTTTTTTTCAAACAAAATTTTACAACTGAGACCTTCACCAAATTACTGGTGTATGCGATTTGATGAAAAAAATGGTCCTACAAGGAGCAATGTTTAAAAATCTTTAAAATTTATAAATCAATCTTTAAAATTTATATAAATCAATCTTTAAAATTTATAAATCAATCTTAAAATTTTTTGCAAAGGTATCGCATTTTACTAACAAATGACATCTTAATTTGTTCAACAATTGTTAAACAAATGCATTTCGATTTGTAAAACTTTACAAGTAGACTCTGTGTAGAGGTCATGGTCTTGAAATTGCATACTTACCTTTACCAATATCTGTTTTTGGTAAAATTCTACTTTATGAGGAGTGCTTTTGTGTAAATTATGCAATCAAAGATAGAGTAAAGTACATGCCAGACTTTATTGTAGTATTTAGAGATCAGTCAGGTTACATTTTAAAAATACAGAAAACATTTAGCAAAAAAAAAATCTAAGAAAAAATCTAGAATTTATTTCCCTCATATTTGTCTTAATTTAGCTTTGATTTTGATTTAAACTGATTGTCAATTTTTTTGAAACTTTTTGTATGGAAGATGACTAAAAAAGTTAAAAAACATAAATTTATTGTGAAAATATGTATAAAAATTTTTATTTAAGAAAAACCTTTTAGAAATCCCTAAAAACTAAAATTTTTAAAAAATACCCAGAATTAAGGATATATATCCGGAAAAAGATAATTCCAGAGTATTAGGGTTAACAAAACTCGCAAGTTTAGGAAATACTGTATTACTTGTTTTTGAAAATAATGCACACTTATAGTTAAAATTTATTTTTACACTATGATGCTCATATTTTTTTAAAAAAGTTAAAAAACAAACTAACTAAAAAAAAAAAAAAACCCTAACGAAAAAAGAAACAAAAAAAAATTCTTTACAAAAAGAAATTATGTAAGCACTAAAATAAAAATTGAAAATAAAAACTTAAACTCAAAGCGAAACTTTTTGTTGCATTTTTAATTACATTTTTGAAATAAATCTTTTTAATCATATTAATAAAGTAAAATGTAAAATGCTTTAAAATTAAGAAACAAGTTACTACTTGAATTATAAATTATTTGATAAATGGAAAATTTTATTGAAGCAGTTTTTCTATGGGTAAAATAAAAACATATTAACAATAAAAAATTCAATGAAAAATTTGATTAGAATTTTAAAAAATTCATAAAAATTAAACTTGATTGTTTAATAAATGAACAAAGTTTATCAAATTTATTAAAATATTTATTTAATATTTTTAAATTGCTTAACATTTATTTTTTCAAAAAAGTTGCAAAAAAAAAAATTGTTAAAAAAAAAACGTAGTCTTTTTAAAATAGTAATTTTTAATAATTTCATGTTTTAGTTAATAAGCCTAGTTAAAAAAAAAGATTTCCAATTCTTTTATTTGTAAAAATAGGAAAAAAATAAATAAATAAAATGTGCCTGCGACTTAAATAAAATAAACTGCCGGCAAGCAATTTAAATTAATTTTAGCATTACAACTTTATTAATAAGCGCTTCACGTAACAAATTTAAAAATTATTATAAGTG